ATCCTAGACTTTTCCAATGATGGTTATAAGAAGAGTGAATCATGATGAGTATGAGGTTGGTGAATGTTGAAGAATTCAGAGGAGAAAGAGAGAGAAGAATTGCCATTGAAGAGTTTCCTTCAAGATCAAGCAACACACGATTTCTTCCATTACAAGCTTTCTTCTTCAAAGCTTTTGCAAACAGAAAGATCCTCTCCATTAGAGGAGTGTTTGGCATCAATTGCAAGCTCTGCAACTACTCATAGCACCACTCACCATCACCATTCAACAGGTTCTTTCTTCCCCATATATCTCCTAATTTATAGGATTTCTAACTGGCTTGTAGATATAGGATGAACATGCTAGGATAGTTGTTTAGTTCCCTAGAGTTTCAGAGGGTTTTGTGAGGATTGATGGCAGGTGCAAGAATCTGTTATGATTGAGAACAGGCTGGATTAGTGGCTTTAAAGCACGATTGATAGCTCATTGTGATAAGCATAACATGTAGAACATAATCATACCATTAGATTTGAGTTTCCCCATGATCGATCTCAGTAGAAATAAGTGAAACCCTAGCCTTCATCTCTTCTGTTTGCGCATGTTAAGAGGATTCAAGGGAAACTACGCATATGGTTGTAATCCTCATGTTTCGTGGAGCATGTTTGGTTTTGAAATTTCTGAAAATCATCAAGAGATGAGAGAGCAACAGATGAGGGAAGTTTCGTGCATGGGAGCTTTCAAACTGAAACCCTAGATCAGTTTTGGGGACGATGGTTGTTGGCCGTTGGATCTCTCTGAATTCTTGACCTTTTCCTCTAATCGTGTGGCCAGGTTTTAAAATGAAAACGGAGGGAAACCTCCCCGCTGCAACGCAGCGTTTCATTAAAGCTGAAAACCTGGGCCTGGGTCCAACTTGCTACGCGCACCCCCCCTATTTCAGCCCATCAATTAACAACTAATCTGCCTTGCTATTTTCACCCCCCGTCCCCTTTAATTCTTTTTTTATTTTCTTTTATTGTTTGTCTTTTATAAAATTCATAAAAAATCCAAAATTTAATATTTTTTAATTCTTGTTTTTTTCATATGTTAATAAATCTGTCTAGAAAAATATAGATAAATAAAATCTCCATTTTATTTTCTTTTCATATTTTTAGTTTTTTTTCCTTTTAATAGCTTTTAAAATAGGATTAACTTTGTACATGATTTTGTAGAATTTGTTTTAGGACCTTCCTTTAGTCTTTTTAATTCATTCTTTTTGGTGTAATTAGATATTGAATCATAGTTCCCCATAGGATTTAATTCTTGATTTTTAGATTAAAATTTGATTAGTTTAATTAGGGTAGCATTAGGGTGCTTAATTAGGGTTTAGGTTGTGCATAAGTGAGGAAATTCATTTTCTTTAGATAGTTTGTTTTGATTTTTGGGTAGAGGCATATGTGGATGTTATGGGTAGATGTTGTAGACCCTTGTGAATAATTGATAGATTTTTCCCCTTTTGTTTAGCATCTTTAGGTATTTTCTGAAGTTGGCTATTGATTTTGTCTGTTCTGTGGTTATCTGTTCATCTCTGGGGTTTATTGTGGGGAAGTTGTTGTGGGGCTTGTGTTGTCTTGAAGATCTTGTTGAAGAGCATGATGGAGGGAAGATTGTAGATCAAGACTCAGAGACCCAGAGCTTGGATTTTTCCCTGTCTGTGAGGTTTGAGATCCTGAAGTTTGAAGGAAGTTCATGGTACTTTCCTGAGGAAGGCACTATGAATGACTTTCATTCTTTCTTCTCACCTCTTTCTCAAGTATCCAATGATGTTGGAGCCAACTTGTGAGTTTAATTTCTCCTGAGGAGGAATGTAAACTGATCACATGTTGTTGAGCCACATGGGATACAATTCCTAAGTGGAAGCCTCCTAGTACTTTCCCGAGGAAGGTCCTATGGGTCTATTCACTTAGTTCCATTAGTTTGCCTAGGATTTCTCAAGTATCCAATGATGTTGGAGCCAACTTGTGAGTTTAATTTCTCCTGAGGAGGAATGTAAACTGATCACAGTTGTTGAGCCACATAGGATACAACTCCTAAGTGGAAGCCTCCTAGTACTTTCCTGAGGAAGGTCATATGAGTCTGTTCATTTAGTTCCACTAGTTCAGATAGGATTTCCTAAGTATCCAGTGATGTTGGAGCCTGCTTGTGAGTTTAATTTCTCCTGAGGAGGAATGTAAACTGATCACAGTGGTTGAGCCACATAGGATATGACTCCTGAGTATACACCTCCTAGTGCTTTCCTGAGGAAGACACTATGAGTCTGCTTACTTAGCTCCCTTTCTTTGGTAAGCTTGTTCTGAAGCTTGAAGGCTGGGATTGTTTTCTTTTGGTTAGGTCTTGCTTTAGGGATTTGCTTAGATTTGATTCAGATTCTGTGTTATGGTTAGGATTAGAGAGTAGATTCTTTCTTTCTCAAGCATGTGGTTTGTTTGCCTGATGGCACTTCATTTCTTTTACTGTTCATTGCTTGATAGCATGTTGTTTATCTTCAGTATGATTACTGTTATTTCATGACTGGCTTGAGGTCGAGACGAGCTTGTGGAGGCTGAAGCCCCACACACATTTCCTCCCTCACTTGCATTGCATGCATTTTACTGTTAAAGCTTATGCTTTTGTCTGTTTTGGTGTATCATTGACATGATCCCTTAGGACTCTCCTTTCCTTTGATAAGGATTTGATGATAGACTTTTAGGTTGAAACCTATGCATGACAACATCTAGGAGTTCCCTGTTCAAACCTCAACCATAGGATGAATCCATGGCATGACAACAGTAGGACTTGATAGTCTCCCTCCTAGTTGAGCCTGTTCTCTTCTCATCTCGAAGCAGTTTAAGATACAGTAATCATGAATGATTTCTTTCGTACGTTACGAGCCTTAAGCCATCTGAAGATTGATGTTTAGTATGGTACCCTTTGGGTGACATGCGACGCATTCACTCTCAGGTCATAGTCTCTAGTGCGGTTGAGATCGCAAACATAATAAAAAACACTTTTGTTAGGAGATAGCCCGTAGTTTCCCGAACTACGTTTGCTCTGATCTTTCATACCAGATGAAAGTACGTAGGCATAGGACGCGACGTCCTAGCGAGAAACCTTCAACCCTTTCACCCGTAGTTAGCCGAACTACGTTGACTCTGATTTCTCATTCCAGACGGGAATACGTAGGCATAAAGTGCGACGCTTTGCCGAGTCATTTTTCTTTTCTTTTTTCAGCCAGCCTTGATAGGTAGATAGAATAAAACCAACCCGTCCAAGCAAACAAACAAGCGAGGATCCCGTCGAGTACGACGGACGTGAGGGGTGCTAATACCTTCCCCTTGCGTAACCGACTCCCGAACCCAGACAACGGTTGCGATGACCTTGTCTTACCCGTATTCGTCAGGTTTTTCCGATCGTTTCCTTTCCCGCTCTGAGGGATAAATAACGAAAGGTGGCGACTCTTCTGTTATGCCGGCACCTTATTTTCGCGCAAGCGACACCTTCACAATTGAATACTGCAAAACGAATCTCTTCAGACGATAACAGATCTTCTAGTTGTAAACTTTCTTTAATGGACAAAGTGATTAAGCCTGACAGATCCATTGATGGTCTAACTGAATAGCTACTGCTAAACCTGTCAAAAAAATGATCTTTGGTTGCCTGTTTAATATAAAACACATTTGTTACGATAGCCAAATCAACCTTCAGAGTAGTGATGGAATTCGATCTAACTCTAGCCTTCAACTGTGAGTGAAAATAGTTCGCATTGCAATCCCCTTCTTTAAACCACTTAGCTCTTGATTTTTAGATACTGTGAGTGAAAATAGTTCCAGTATATTCCATTTCCAATATAGTTCCAGTATATTCCATTTGGAGATCAGATTTTTAGATACTAAAAATCTATTTAACCTGCTACAGCAAGAACCATTTACTTTAAACCATGTAAATTTTTTACCAGTAGCTGGTAAATCCACCAATTCAATGGCATATAAGAATATGTTGAATTCCTCCATTTCCACCTTCGAGTTATGGCCTCTACCTCTCCTCTCTTCAGGCGATTTTATAGCATTAAAATCCCCTCCTACTATCGACTCACCAGCTGGGAATTTAGCTTCCGCGTCCAACAACTCCGCCCATAATTTCTTCTTCTCAGATAAAATGCAAGAAGAATGTACATTAATGATATAGAAAAACATGTTACTCTAGGTTACAAACAAACCCAAAAAACCTGTTCCTTTGAAACTGAGGATTAGATCAATACAACCTTTCCACCAAATTGTTAAGATTCTGCCAGATTGACCAACAACGTTTAAACCAGACCAGCCACAATCCTCATTCCCCCATAGATTATGAACAAGTTTCTCCTCTATATTTGAGTCTACATAACAATTTTTTATCTCATCAAGTGATCCCATTCTGATGTTAAATAGCGATGCTATTGCACTATAGTGTAACGGAATTTGAACAAATTGATATTATTCCGCAAATGCTATTGATTAAATAACCTAGTCAAATAGCGGATTAAGTTGTGCGGTAACATTTTTGTGTAGCACAATTTGACCAAACTGCTATCATTTGTGATCTGCCAATTTACAACACCAACCCTCATTGTGCTTTCTCTAAGTGAAGTTCTTTTACAAAACTATATGTGTCAGTGTGTCACAGACTCAACTTTGTTTGATTTCCTTCTAATCTGGTATATAGTATATTAGTGGACTCTCTCAGTAGGCAATTGTGTTTTTGCCATTACCTTCTAATGCAATTAAAATTTTGATAGTAGTAGTCCAAAACAGGGAAATTGTGGGACAATTTTGTATACATTAATTCAACAACTACTCTCAAACATAGTTACAGTTCACAATGATAATGTTTAGTGACTCACATGTTAATTGTCTCCCCTCCCAAATGGTTCATATGAATTGGTGCTATATATTTGTCGGGTATCGATTATTTGTGATATAGAAAATGTTTAGTGACTCACATGTTAATTGTTTGCTATATAGAAAATGGATCATACTTGGATGTATAATAGAGCATATTCCGATAGACACGGATTGAAAGATGAGTTTGTTCGTGGGGTTAAAAAGTTTGTGAAGAAGGCTTTGAATCAACACATTTGTAAATCTGAGGGAGGGATAAGGTGTCCGTGCATAAATTACAAGTGTTGTAAGATAAGTACATTAACTAATGTAAGACTTCACTTATATCGAGATGGATTTCAACCAGACTATTGGATTTGGACTCAACATGGAGAAGTGGAGCTCAATATTGATATAAGGGGTGGCTCAAATAGTAGTGAACATGTGCGTCAAGCTGACCAGTTTGAAGCAATGGATCAAATGGTGTATGATGCATTTAGGCCTCATGGAGGTTTCTCTCACGCGAATGATAACAGGGAACAAGAGGAACTTTTGGAGGATGAGTTTCCCAACGAAGAAGCTAAACAGTTTTATAACAAGTTGATATCTTTCAACAAGCCTATCTATGAGGGAGCTACTCAATCTATGTTATCAATATCTACTCAACTTCTTGAAATTAGGTCTAACTGGCATGTTCCACAAAAAGGTTTAGATTTTGTTGCACAAATGCTTAAAAGTGTATGTCCAGTTCAAAAGTGTTTACCTGAGAACTATTACCAATCATCACAGTTGGTGTCTAAGTTAGGGCTAAAGGTTAAGAAGATTGATTGTTGTAAGAATGGTTGCATGTTATACTACAAGGATGATATACTACAAGATTTTTCAGCAACAGTAAATTATGATCAGACACACTAGGAGCCAAAATGTGAAGGGTCATTTCCATGTATTTTTGGCTGTGTTTGCAAGAGGTGAAGCTCTGAATGAAACCTACTAATCATAATCAGTCTTTTGTTTTGGAAAACTGAACAAAAAAAAAAAGCCTTAAACAAGGGTTTCTGACTTAGACTGTGATGCATCATTATCATTTAATTTTTTATAAAATTAAATAAAAAGCACTTTTTATCACTATACAGCCATACTACTTATTTATTAAGCCAAACTACTTGCATACCATAGGAGTGTGTTTCTCTATCTAAGGCATGATTGTGAAATGGAGGATGAGATTCAAGCATGCAAGTTTCCGAGACTCGAAAATGTTGTAAACAACTTAAACAATTCTAGAAACAAGAATTTAGGTTCTGGTAGAAGGAAGAATGTTGGAGGAGTTACTGGGAGTGATTTTCAGAGAAGCTGACAGGAACGGCAGCAGGAGGAAGAAAACTCTTCGAGAATCGTTAGAATGTCGAGAGGTTCGGGTGGAAAAGATAGACACAACAAAGTGATGACTTCGAAGGGTTTACGATATAGAAGATTTAGGCTCTCGGTTACTACGGCTATTCAGTTTTATGATCTGCAAGAGAGACTTGGTTATGATCAACCGAGTAAAGCGGTTGATTGGTTAATCAAGGCTGCTTCGGATTCTATCTCGGAGTTTCCTTCTCTCAACAACGTGTTCGCTCAAATTGAAGCGAAGAGTGATGAGAAGAGGCAACAAGAGTTTGAGTTTGATGATGAAAGACTGAACAAGAATCTTTGTTTGTCTAAGTCTGCTTGTAGCAGCACTTCTGAGACAAGTAAAGAAAATGAGTCTTATTCCACCAAATCCAAAGCCTACCATTATCATGGTTTTGGTAATTATCTATAGAGATGAACTGCAGCTGCATGTGACAGAATAATATTATGAGCCGCTATAAATGGCTCTTTTTCTGAATCACCTTTTTTACAGTTAGCCATTGCCAAAGAGCCAGAGCAACGAGATGGAGGATATATGCCTGAACGGTAACTGAGCGGTACTTGGTTATTTCGTTCGTTGAATGTGACCCAATACTTAACTCTATCGCCAAATGTTTTAAAACATAGGTCTGCATAAAATGCAAAATCTTGCTGTGATTGGGGACTTAACCATCCTCCATATCTGTCCTCTAGTTCTTGTGGGCTGTCATAGTGACTTAGAGTAATAAATGGTTGAATACCTTTGAGCAGCAAAGCATCAAATAGTTTGTTATAGAAGTCAATGCCAACCCAGTTGATTTCTCTGAGACCTGTTTATCGCAATTGTTGATTTGGCATTGGTGTAAAACCATATGGATAATGATACTATAACCCATCTATAGAGTGTTATCCAAACATCAGTAATGCCCAATATTATATCACATATTTTGAGATTAAACAAAGTTTGTGTTGTCCATTGGAGTTTTGTTTTGTTTTGTTTTGATAAAGTCTGTTACAATATTAAACAAAATGATAATGACTGATACCAAAGTCTGTACATACTGCATCATGATGAAGTTTTATTTTATGGATATTAAACAAAATGATAATGACAGGTCCTAGTTGCTATCAGTGATGACAGGTCCTTTATCCTAGTTGTTGGCTGTTTAGTTGCTTGATTGTAATCGTTTTTGTCTAATTTTTTTGTATTTTATGACAGCAGATGACTAACAGAAATGGAGGTGAGAGAGGAAAGGAAAATCCAAAAAAAATAAAATCTAAGTACTTAGCACCCGAAAAGCTTATTGATAATCGGAATAGCATGTATCGAAAGAAATCTACATTTGTTCAGTCATCACAAACTACTACAGCACCGACTCCACCAACTCGGACTCCATCGTCGGCTCCGACTCCATCTTTGGCTCCGACTCCCTCGGTTGCTTCGACTTCATCACCTGCTCTGAATCCATCGTTGGCTCCGACTCCCTCGGTTGCTTTGACTCCATCAGCTGCTCCGAATCCATTACCAGTGCGGGCTGCACCGGTCCCGCGGACTGCACCCATTTTGCGGACTACGCCTGTGCCGCAGGCTGTACCACCATTGCAGACTACATTGTCATCTGCACCTAATCATGCCTCTACCTCTGAGGTATTTAGGTTTATGCCTACTCCGGGTTTAAACATTCAAAATGTGGCTGTCCCTCTAGATAATGCCTCACGTGAGATTCCGATGGGGTAAATTAAGAGGAAATTGAGGATGAGGACGCGGATGAGGTGGTCGTGGGTGAAGGTAATGTTCCCCCTCATATGATAATAAGGGATGATAATGGGAAGGTTATTATACAAACTTGTGGTAGCGGGTAAGTTTAAAATATTTATTCAATATTGTAACATGCTTCAATATTATCATTGGTTTCAACAGTATATCATATGACATCATTGGTTTCATTCAATATTGTAGGCTTGTTCCGGCCAAAGAAGTAGCAAATGCCATTAATTATGCGATACGCAAACAATTTTATAGGGGTTTCTATAATTAGACAGCAGTTTCCGATGATGTTAAAGAAAAATGGTTTGCTCTTTTTGCGGTAAGTATTTATTGAATTTTGTCTAAAAGCCTCAGCATTAAGGACAAAAACACATGTTTCCTTATGGATAGATGCTGACAAAAACACATTTTCAGGACAAGGTTTCATGGGATCCTCAATATGAGATGTTTGTCAGGAAAGCCTTTTATTCAAAGGCAGCCATTCGACTAAATGACATAATGAGGAAGGTGAGGTTAAAAGGGACCCGTCCTTCATGGATTGGTGAGGATGCCTGGAATGAGCTTGAAACTTATTGGAAAAGTGATTCGTTCTTGAAATTGTCCTCTCAAAACAAGGCCAATCGAAGTTCAGCAAGAGGAGGAACAGTCCACACCTCAGGTCGTAAGGCTCATGTTGATGTAGCGCTTGAGCTTGTAAGTAATAAAGTCGATTTTTATTTCAATCTTTAATTATTTACACTATCAAATTTACTTTAATTTATATTTGTAGACCCAAGAACTTCAAAGGGATGTACGCCCTGATGAGTTATTTTTAAAGACCCATAAGAGGAAAAGTGGAGCATGGGTTGATCATCATGCTGAGTCTACATACGTAAGTCTTAGTTAATTATGAACTTAATATCAAAATGAAATTACCTTGATCATATGACAATAACATGACATTATCTTAGTATGAGACTTTCTTAATTTAATGTTTCTTTTTGACATCATGGCCTTTCTTATCTAGAAAGTATTAAAATGTAGAAGTTACATAGTTAATAATATTGATGCCTGGAATGAATTGTCACTGCCATTCTTATCTAGAAAGTATTAAAATGTTAGTTTCCCCCCTTAATTTTGCAATATTATTGAATGATGCCTTGCAGCGGATCTGCACCGCTGCACACTACCGCCGACTCCGGCCACTGGCTGGCGGATGCCCTCGCCGGATTGCCTCTCTGCGGCAACGACATTTTTCTTGATGAACTTAACCTGAATATAATGAATTTAACCTGAATTATTACCTGAATGAGTATAATGAATGATGTAACTGATCAGTTACATAAATACAAGTTACATAAATTTAATCTTCTAGTTTTTAACCTGAATTATTACCTGAATTTAACTTGTGAATGATGTAACCTGAATTTAATCTTCTAGTTTTGAACCCGCAGACTGTTATGATTTATTATAACCTGAATTGAACCCTAAAAAATCAGTTACATAAATACAAGTTAAGATTTTCTGTTATTCTTTGAGAGAGCTAAAACAGTTGACATCTCTTGTACTAATCATTGAAATGTTGTACTAATGTTGCTGCAAATGCTGAAATGCTGCTGCAGCAAATGCTGAAATGTTGTTGCTGCAAATGTTGTACTAATCATTGAAATGTTGTACTAATGTTGTACTAATTATAACCTGTTTTCTGTTACAAATGCTGCTGCTGCAAATGCTGAAATGTTGTACTAATCATTGAAATGTTGAAATGTTAATTATTGAAATGAGATTAGGTGAGACTAGGTTGTAGTTGTTAATTATTGAAATGTTGTACTAACTCATGCAGGCACAATAACTCTTGTATAACTCATGCAGGCACAATAAGAATCCTATATTTAGAAATGACTCCTTTTTCTGTTTTACAGTCCACTTTTAAGGAAAAAGCTGGAGATGATGTCGAGAGGTTAGATGGAGAGACCGTTTTTAAATTATGGACAGATTCTGCTGGGGGTCATAGTCGTGGTCGGGTTTATGGAACAACGGATTTAGCTATCAATCTGAAGCATGGATCTACATCCTTTATCCAACAACCTCAAAATTCACGCGGATCTATGTTTGGGACATCCTTTGAATCAGAGAGAGCATCTAGAATTAGAGCTGAACAATTGGCTGCAGCTACATCAGCTCGACTCGAAGAGGCTACCAAAGCTATTCAAGCGTCAAATGAGATTGCTCGGAAGTCAACCGAACAATATCAAGCGTCTAACGAGTTTGCTAAGAAGATGGAGTCTGAACTGAATGCTTTGAAGGCATTTATCATGCTGAAGCTTGACCCTACAAATGGTCAATCTGCTAGAGTTGTCATTCGATCATCAAATCCTCACTATGATGATGATTTAGGTGACCAATCATTAAGTGAAGATTGATCATGCAGTATTAGTAGAAGTAGTCTATGATGTAAATTTTTTTGGACATGATTTTCAATGTATTCCGAGTTTTTAGGGCTGTTTTTTGTTGTAGATATGACTACTTTTTCTGTTGTTGTTTCAATCTATGTAATATTTTGATAACTCTTACTTCATATGTGTTATATGTTTTGATAAATAGATTGAAGGAGAACAAGACATGACATAATTGTCATTATTGGAAAACATGGTCAACATATATAGATTATACAATTGGAAAGCAGGCATAATTTTATTGACTTTTATAATTTGACTTTAGCCTCGGTTAGGCCAAAGCTAAATATTTTGCTGTTATAAAGTTTGAACTTAGCCTCGAAAAAGTCGAGGCAAAATGT